TTTTCCCAAGTACTTTCTTAATAGTCATCAGTGAATTATATTATTTAAAAGTATTGCAATTGTCCTGTCTGATGTCGTGCTTGTACGTTTGTGTGTGTGTGTGTGTGTGTGTGTGTGTGTGTGTGTGTGTGTTTGTGTCTGCATGCGAACATGTGTGTCTACAACTTCCTACATTTGCTCTTCTCTTGTCTGCTGTTCCCACAGTTTTGTTCGTTTTGCTTACTTTCGATATTTGCATACATCTGTATGGATATACAATAACCGTTAATATATTGTATAAACCCCCCAAAATGTGTATAGTACCCATATTTGTTAAATGCCGACTAAGACTTTGGATCGAAAACAGAATTAAGGATATTATACAGACTTTTACTCACCAAGTCTTCTTCATATCTAAGAACATGGGTCGGACTTAAAACAGAGTCAATCCTTCGTCATATTAAAGTATACTATGAATATCGCTTATTCAATTAATTTGTTTCCTCACAACCTCACAAACTCACAACCTCACAAACTCACAACCTGAAAGATACAAAGTATAATGTATTTTTACAGGACCTGACTGACTCAATCGTTTACATCACCAGTATAAAATAGAAGGATGTGAATAAAAAAAATCTTACTCATTCTTTCACTCACCAGCATGGACATTTAATTTTGATTTTCAGGTTACTCTTTAACTCGATGAATTCCTCACTACTTTATTTTTCTACTCACTCATTTCCTCACTGGTTTACTTTTCTAATTCGTCATTTCCCTACATCTTTACTTCCCAATTCTGTCATTTTCTCTCAGGTGCTTACATTTCCATTAATTATTGCTGTTTATGCCTAGTCTTTTTCACTCCACTGAGATTTTCTTTCCGATTACAGATGAAGATGGAAAGCCCAAGACCAAATCCACCGAGAAAGCCGCACCCAAGCCCATGGAGAGGACGAAGGGAAAGCGAGGCTCCCAAAAGAAAGGCTCCAAAAAGAAGAAGAAAGAGAAGCAGAGCGCTAAGAAGGAAAAACAAAAAAAGTCTAAAAAGTCCACAGAGGCCCCCACTGCTCCTCCCCGCGGTGCTGCCGCTGCCGCTGCTGCTGCGCCCACAACCAATGTCGTCGCGACTGCTGCTTCAGGCGTTGCTGCAGACGTTGAGGAGAAAGTCGTCAAAGCTGCTTCGGATGTGACTACGAAAGTCGAAGGAGAGCTCAAAGCGGAATTAGAAGCACCAGAAGCCTGTTCATCTGAAATAATCGTACAGGCCCCAACTGGAATCTCTGTCGAGACGAAAGGAGATACTGCTGAGTTTCAGCGTACTGAGCAGTCGGCTGACGTCATTACCTCTGTGGTCAGTTCGTCTGTTGAGGTTCCGTTTGCTTCCGTGGAGCAAAACTCCGGCCATACCGGAGACCTTGAGGCTATGGCCTCGTCCATTGTGGCGGAATCGGTCAACCTCGCACAGAAGCGACTTCAGAAAGAGTCAGGGAATGAAAATTCCGAGATCGAGAAGAGAGCTGCTTTGGAGAGCAACAAAGAAAGAGTGAGCGTCGATTCCCCTCTAGAAAACAAAGATGGTGGGAGTTCTGCTTCCTTCTCCGTGAATTCTGTTGTCGGAGGCTTCTTCTCTGAGAACGAGCCACAGACGAAAACCGTGCACGAACCACAGAATATTGACAGTGAGCTGGAATTGGAACGAATGGATTCCGAGGTGGAGATGGAAGTGCAGGTGCAAGAGCGGTCCCTTGTGGACGAGGTCCTCAACGCTGTGAATGCCGAAGTGTGCAACTCTTCTGCTCAAGTGTCGTACCACAACAGCTCCACTGACAACATCACAGCTGACGTCACAGATGTGACCACTGACCACGGCGTAGATGCCTCTACAAACGACGACGGGACAGAAGACCAGCTGCCTGTTGCCTCGTTGGTGGCTGACATCGAGCGAGATATGAAGGCCATTAAGGGTTCTTCTCTTCTGGGCAAGACTGAATCTCTCGAAGTACCTCAGTCATCCGCCGATACTTCTCTCGTGGCTGACACCAAAGCCGAAGCGTCCTTCACAGGAGATACTCCAGAAAAAGGCGACCTCGACTGCACAGACACGTCCATAACACTTGGCGCTGACGAGGCGATCTCCGTGGCACGGAAAGCGGAGAACGAAGTGAAGGCTCTCGTTGCATTTTCGGGGATTTCTGCCTCTGTAGATGAAGAGACAACTCCGGTAGAGGAAGCAAATGTGAGTGCCGAAAAAAACACCACAATTGAGACCACCTCTGATGTCGATCAATTGGGCGTGGCAGGGATTTCTATTCCGGATTCTGTGAAGGATATTTCTACCGGATCACTGGATGTGTCCGTGGCCGCTGACGCGGTCCAGGTTCAAGCCGCAGAGAAGGGTGAAGTCTTAGCTAAGGCAGCAGTGGAGCAAGTTATGGGTTCTGCTGTAGTCACCAGTGTCTCTGCTTCTGTAGCCGAGGGGGGTAAAAAAGAAGAAGGGGAGGAGGACAAGAAGCTTGAAGCTGGTCTTATTGGTGCCAGTGCAGAGAGACTGGTTTCTGATTCCGAAGCCGAGAAGGCACTAAAGCTTCAGGCAGAAAAGGAAAGAAGAGACAAAGAACGCATAGAAAAAGAAAAATTAAAGAAACAGCGAGAGGAAGAAAAAATGAAAGAAAGAGAAAAGGCTAAGGAAGAAAAACGCCGAAAAGCCGAGCAAAAAGCTGCAGAAAAGGCTGAGAAAGAGAAACAGAAACAGGAGAAGAAAATGAAGGTGCCAAAGAAACTCAGCAGTTGGTTTTCGAAGAAAGAAAAGCAGCCACGGACTGTGGCTGAATTAGAGGTGAAAGCACCGGGATCTGAAGACGAGGCAGTCGCAGACTCGACACTGAGTGACAGTTCTCCACCCACGAGCCCCGACACGCCAACAGCACCGGAGCAACACACGTCCGCTGACACACAGGTCTGTCCTGTAAGTGACGCCGTGGCAGAAGTGAAGGATGTTGTGACGTCAGTTGGAATACCTGCCGTGACGTCAGCCGTTTCGTCTGAAGTGACGACAGCTGTAGCATCAGCTGTGACGCCGGAAGAGCAGCCTTCAAACGCCAGCCTCACAGTTGACGTCAGTGTTGAGCCTCTCATCAAGCCCTCGACAGAGCCATCCGAGGAGAACAGTCCCAACTCCTCCGCCCCCGCCGTCTCGTCGGAGCCGAGCAGCCCCGAGCATCAAGACAGCGCCCCTACAAGCCCCTTCACAGACAACGGTTCCGGCTCAGACAGCGAGAGAGGCTCGGGTGTCCTAAAGAAGATTTCCATTGGGCCACGCCTCCGCACGGCAATCCTCCGTAAAAGGAGCAGCGGCGCTTCGGACAGCGGTCACGAGGAGAACAGACTATCCCTGACCAAACCCAAAGCCGTGGAAGCCACGGACATCACGCCCCCTCCCCGCAAAATAGGCCCTCGTCGGCCCGTCGAGCAGTATTCCCCCATCACAGCCGGGGCACACAACAAGAACTTTCCCACAGAGGCGAGCAGCGCCGTGCAGGCTAAAGAAGAAGTTGCTAGTGAGGCTATTAGTAAAAGCCTGGACTTTGACACTAGTGTTCATGCAGAGGTATCTGCTGCGGATTCTGCAGAGCATGAAAATTCTCCGGAGTGTGCCGAAGATGTGTCCGAGAAAAAAAAGACGATAGTAGAAGAAGTAGTAAGTGTGGCGAAACAAACACTCGTGTCATGTGAGCCCCTCCAGGGGATACTCGGTGGAGACAATTCTTCCATACAAAGCAGACAAGACAATTCATTATTCAGTATTGCAGAGGTTGAAGCTTCGTCAAATACTGACACGGACTTGAAAGTTGTCACAGATTCTCCATCTGGTGAGGTAAATGTTCCGAAGGAGAAGGGAGAGGAGGGGGAGAAGGAGGAAGATACTCTCGTCGATTCTTTCCCGCCCCTGGAGTCACCAACGCTGGTCTCTACTGCCACAATTGTGCTACGGGCAAACAGCATAGAGGATTCTGTCATAGAAGAGACACAGAGCTCGCTTGCGCCCCAGTCAGGCGAGGCGACAGTTTCGTCGTCGACATCACCGTCTGAACCAGGTTCCGAGGGCAATAGTACCCAAGTTACCTCCGAGATCGATTCTGCTGTGCAGAACGTCGAGGAAAAAGACTCCATTGTTGAATCCATTGTGTCTGCGGCGACACAGTTTGCGCCTTCTGTTCTGTCCGACAAAACAGAAAACACGATCGAATCCTATGAAAATGTTCCTGAAGTTGCTGGAGTGGAAGATTTCCAAGCAGAAGAGAATGTGGGAGGACAGGATGACGACGAGAAGAAGGAGGAGGAAATGCAGGTGCAGCCTCAAAAGTACTCCGTCGTATGCGTGGCCCAAACCATTGCAGACGACATGACACAGGAGGTAAGAGAAGAGGCGTCACCAGATAATGACAATGTCCCACCAGGCATGTCTGATGAGTCGATGGAAAAATCGGACTCTTCGACAAAAGAGTCTGTGAAAGACGTTCTGGCAACTGTTGCTCAGACCGCCGTGTCCAAAGTTGAGGCACATTTTCAAGACAACACGGTGCCCACTATTGACACACAGATCTCTGAAACTACGGAGGTCGCAGAGAATGAGAACAGCCCTGAGGTGGCGGATGCATCTTTAGCGGCGTCGGTTTTGCAAACTGTTTCATCGGCAATCGTAGAGCAGGATGACACAAAACCAACTGCTGTCGAAAACGGCCAAGATGTGGAGTTGACTTTCGAAAACGAAGCACATCCTGCTGTGGACATTGGCCAAACGTCATCGGCGACAGTCGAAAGCGACAGCAAGTCACTGACAGATACTATTGAGCAAGTGACAACCCAAGTGGCAGCAGAGAGTCAGGAATTGACCACCGGCCATCCTGAAGTCAAAGCCGATCGACCCACGGTTACTACTGTAGCAGAGTTTCAGATTGGCATCTTGAGCTCAGAGACGTCGGAGAATGAAGCTGAGGAAAACGCAGGTAGTACCAACAGACCATAGAAATTAATGTAATCTAGTCTCACTCTAACCGCCAATGTTGAAAGAGGGTATACTAAAAATGGGTATTGAGAGTTGGGTACTTTGAGGATGAACTAGGAAGCCAGAAGTGCATGTGGCAAACGTGGCAGATCCAGAGTTGTCTTCTTGGGGCTCCCTGTGTCTAGGCCGTTGTCTAAATATACACCCTAGTAACTGGTTATACTATAACAGATACTTTACTTCCCATGAATGTGACGAACAGCAATATAGAGGCTCGGTTTAGTACACACCCGAGGCGCTGTCTCTGAAATCAGGGCACTATATTAATTATTCTGCTTTCCATATTTTATAGGCAATCTTTTTTTATTAGGTTGTCATTATTTTGGGACAATTTTTTTTGGGGGGGGTGGGGGAAGGCGGAAGGGGGTCGGAATACTGAGTGCTGAAAGATCTATTCTTGCTTTACACTGTAATAAATGGTTCTTGAAATTGTTGACCAAAGTGGAGTCAATTGTAACCTACTTCTGATTCTCTTCTATCAAGCCGACTTTTCAGTCAAGAGAGGCTGCTCATATAGAAAAAAAAATTGAGGATTTTAAAACTTTCTGTTTACCGCAGTTTTTGGATTAACCGTAGTCGATTCAATTAAATATATATACATTTAGATAGATAGATAGATAGATAGATAGATAGATAGATAGATAGATAGATAGATAGATATACGTGTGAAAATATAAAATATAGAATAAGAATGATTTTCACGGTCTGTTTTGCTCGAATAGTCGGGTATGTGCCCGTGTGTGTTGGGTTTCTGCTAAATCGGGTCCAGTAATAACAAAAGTACAAAAGTTGCCGGTATGTCATTCTGTGTCCCCATGGGAAAGGATTAGACTGAAAGACCTGTTGACATAACTTGAAGATTGATCGCATCATTCCAGCCAACCGACGACAGGCGCTGGGCCGGGCCGCATAGGTCAACGCCCACCAGGACTTTGACATGGCTATTCTCAGGACAGTCAGCGATAATGTTACATCACGGGCTGGATCCTGAGATTTCTCTCTCTCTATTGTAAAATAGTTCGTTCTTATCCTATAAGAAAACAAGAATTACTGTCCCCCCCCCCCCCCCCCCAAAAAAAAAAAAACACAAAAAAACAAACGATGAAATCAAAACACAATTATGCGTTCGGACTGTAGTAAATGGAAGCACATTTGATCTGAAGCAAAGGATTCTTTCCCTGGATTATTAAAATTTTGGTTTCGTGACGTTCCTTATGTGTAAATGTGTGTGTTTTATCTCTCTCTCTCTCTCTCTCTCTCTCTCTCTCTCTCTCTCTCTCTCTCTCTCTCTCTCTCTCTCTCTCGCCTCATTCTCTCTCTCTTTCTTTTTCTCTTCTCTCTCTTTCTCTCTCTTTCTCTCTCTCTCTTTCTCTCTGTCTCTCGCTATGTGTGTCTGTGTGTGTGTGTTAATGTGTGTGTGTGCTATTGCTTACCCCGCAATGAGACAAGAAGTGGACAAAAATGTTTTGGAAGACCTTTTGGCAATTATATTGGTACCTGTTCCGTTGTTTGTCGTGAGAAACCAAAAAGCTGACAGTGCATCGTCCCAAACGCAAAGCTACCTTGAACAAAAAACAGTGTAGAATGTCTGAAAATGAAAATTTTGGCCTGAGCGGTCCTCACATTTAATCTTTACCAGTCCTCGAATTTATAGCTAGTTCGATGCCGCTTTTTGTAGCTTTGTTGCTGAGTAAATATTCGTTCGTCTCTTTTGCTCAGTGGTGTCCATCAAGTCGTGAAGCTGTTTCGCGTCTTGTTCGACTGTTCAAGGTCAACTGATTCTCCACTGTCTCTCCCCCCTCTCTCTCTCTCTCTGTATATGTGTCCTTCTCTCTTTCTGGTATACACATGCCCTTCTCCCTCCCCTCTCTATCTCTTAGTCTCTCTCTCTCTCTCTCTCTCTCTCTCTCTGTCTCTCTCTGTCTCTCTCTCGCTCTCTCTCTTTCTCTCTTACTGGCATACTCTCCTACTGACATACATATAACCCCCCCCCCCACCACAAAGGCACAATCTTGCAAAGGACACTGGTGCAATGTATATTATTAAAAACATTTCCATTACTATCCCGTGCGTAGTATCTAAGCACTGTTTATTCTTGCACAGATCCCCGGCCAGAGTCTCCGAAAGCAGACCCAAAGGAGAAGGACGCACCGGACGCCACAGAAGACACCGAACGGGCATCATCTTTTCAGCTAAATGGGTCAGTGAACGACGAGGCAGCTCCTGTCTTGGATGTTCCAAAAGATGACGCCGATGACAAATCGGTAAGCGTCACCGACGATCTAAACGGCAACAACAAAGCGTTGTCTGAGGCGCCGGAAGAAGACGAGAAAGAAAAGGACGAATCTAAGGAGGGCGGGAACGATGATGATGATAATGATGACATCACCTGTAATAATAACATAATAATCATTGAACGTGTTGAGACCAGTGAGTCAGCCATTCTGCCAGAAGGGGTTTGTGAGCAGGAGATGAGTGAGACTGAAGCTACTGTAGAGCAGGCTGCTGAAACGTCAACAGTTATCTCATCAAGCATCGTTGAAGAGGTCGTGGAGAAAGCGCAGGAAATCTCCGACTCCGCAGTCGACAAAAACACGGCGGAGGAAGATGGCGAGAGAATCTGCGATCCGGAAGTAGTGAATAATACTATGAACCTGGTACGCAAGAGCTCCGGTGTGGAGATCGACACGGATGTTGTCAATGGCAACGATAGCGGTGAGGACACACATGACATGTGTAGAACTGGCCCCAACGCTACAATCGAGGCGTACCTCAAGCTGCAGTATGCTGACACAGCCGCTGAGAAAAATGCTGTGAACGGAGATTCGTTGACGACGCCGCTCAATGGGAATTCAGGTAAGTTCATGAAGTTATCTGTACTATATTAGGTCCAATTATGATTTATAACATGTTAAACCTGAAAGAGCGGGTGGTTGGAGGGCGCCACTTGTAGGTCCTACTTCATTACTTTTCCTCTGTTGTTTTCTGTCTGTCTTACTTTTTCCCATCACTAAATGACCATTATTGTGTCGATCTGCTTCTCTTTACTCAAATCCCAAGCGCCTGAAAAATGATATGTAATCTGGTATGTCAGTTAAATATCATGTAGTCTGTTGCGTTTTATGTATTTGCTGTTACTAGTTTACTTACTCTCGCCCTGTACTGTCAGGTACGCAAGGCAGAGAGGAGCCGACGCAACGCTTGTCTGTCCTTGGTCACATCTTTTACTTCTGTCATTCTTGCCCCTCAATGATACTTCATCTCTGTTTGCACTCTTAAGGCGGCCAATTGGCCTATCTCTTTTCTTTTTCCATAATTTTATCTTCAGCACCATGTTTGATAGGGACTATTGGTTAACAACTAACTGGTTGTTAGACCCGATTCTCTCTCTCTCTCTCTCTCTCTCTCTCTCTCTCTCTCTCTCTCTCTCTCTCTCTCTCTCTCT